CTTAACTGTTAAAATTTAATTTTTAATTGGTGATCCAATAACAAGAAATTATTAGAAAAAAAAGGAAAGTAAAAACGAGTAAAACTGACGCCAACACTAAGAATTTGATTTTTGACATCAAATTAAATATTAACTTTTGAAAACACGAGAAATTACAAGCTTTAAATGCAGTTGAAATTCACTGCAAGTTTTTTTCATACTTCTTAATTCATACAAAAGCAGAAGAGATTGACAGATGCAGAAGAAAAATCAGGAAAATATTGAATCTCAGAGACATCTTTAACTTATTCATGAGTAATTTAAAGTGAAAAAAAACTTCGACGTTTTGAAAAATTACTGATTAAAGTCTGTAAAAACAATGAATAGGAAAAGCAAGGATTATAATAATTTGAAACCAGAAATGAAGAGTGCGTTCGATCAGCATGTTGCCTTTATCAGGTAAAAAAAATTAGAAATTGAACTTGTTTAATCAAAAACTTGGAATGTAATTCGCTGTTTTACGAAAATGTTGAAGCTGGTCGATAGAGTGGGTGAATCAAAGATTATTATTAACATGAAATTAAAAACGAACGGCGCATTGGACGGACACATTGTTTTTTTATGCGAAAAGAATTAAGATTAAAATTTATTTAATTAAAAAATTGAAATGCGAAATTGCAATTTTACGAAAATGTTGAAGAAATGGACGTTAGACAGGTGAATGGAGAATTATATTAATATATTAACATGGAATTGAAAATGAACAACGTTGTTCGTAATCAGTGCAAAGAACTGAGACTGAGTTTGTTCAATCAAAAACTTGAAGTGTTAAATCGCATTTTTATGAAAATTTTAAAAAAATTGGATTACAGAGCGAGAGAATAAAGAATTACATTAATACAAAATCAAAAACGAGCAAGAGGCTGGATAGGTGTATTATTTCCGTTATGTGAAAATTAGAATTCATTTGATCAAATCTTGAAGGCTGTAATGTAAATATGGCGATTTTTTTAAGCGTTGGTGAATTTACTGTTTTGCAGGACTAATTCTGCTTCCAAGTAGTTCTGTTTTGTGTCGCAATTTTTATCACAGTTGATGGAACTTAAAAAAATCATTGATAATATTGAAAAACGAAGATATTCAGGCAAAGCAAGAACAAAGCAGGAAACAAAGAATTTCTGGTTTAACAAAACTGACTGGCATTTTGAGACTCTATTACATGTTAAGATTAAGTAAATCGGTAATTGCTACCTTCTAGGATGTAAAAAGCCAACCGGACGCCCCCAGATGAAAGTGCACATACACTGTACAAGCGGCTTTTACTAACTGAAGTTATGCAGCACAGGGTCGAAAAACCTCGCATAGCTAGTATCTGAGGGCATCTCAGCAGTGTCACTAAAATGGAATATTCCAGTGAATGTCTGGGCAGTCCTAGTGTTCTTAGTGTTAATATAATTATAATTCTCCTCTTCCCAAATCATATCCCCAATCCTTTCAAAACGGTTAAAGCTTCAGTAAATGTTTTTGTCTAGACAGCGTTGAGCTGATAATCCATTTAGGATACTGAGGCTCATCAGGATTGTCAGCAAGCTGACCAGCAGGTGATAAACGTCAATCACACCAGGTGGAAAAATTGCTACCAGCTAATCCAAGTATTATTAATATTATCACTAGTATTATTATCATTACCATTATTATTTTTATTATCATTATTGTCTTTTCTAGTATTGTTGAGAATGAAGACAAGGGGAGGCTGAGATTTTTGTTGACGATGATGTTGAAAGTGATTATTATCACTGTATTATGTCAATAAGGGGGCTTTAACTTTCACTACTTTTGAAAGAATTAACATTTTCTGGTTTGTATTTGCATCGGTTGGCATGAGGCATGAAGCAAAATGAGACAAGAGTAATAGAATAAAAAATAGGGTATATTAACAACCGATGAAAGAAGAGGAAAAGTAATAAGAGTAACGTTTTTTTTTTCATTTCAAGAATGGATGGTAAGAATTATCAATCATGAATTTTGGAAGAAAGATTTTTTATTACTATTATCCCTATTATGAGAACTAACAGTTGCCATTATTGTCAGAAAAGTAATCAGTTATTATCATTACTACTAACGTGAAAAAACTGCTAACATCTCTTGTCATTATTATTAGAAGAAAGACATTTAATTATCGTCAAGAGTGGCGATTATTACAATTTTTCTTTATTATTGTGATGGCGATAATCACTACCAAGAGAAGTACTAGTTGATTTCATTATTGTACGAGAAATAGTCATATTTCATTGTGACCATTACTACAAGAAGGATTACTGATCATTTTTTAAACGTTACTGCAAGAAGAATGATGATCAGTTATCATTATTAAAGGACGAGGAAAAGAAGGAAAGACAGACGATTTAGAATGATAGAAGAATGATTGTTAGTTCACAGCAAACAGTCGAAAATGCAAATTTTTGATTTTGTCTAACTGCATGCGCCCTTCAAGCTTTTTTTGTATCCTTAAACTGCCACAGCAAATTTAATCCATTTTTTCTCTAGCTATTTTTACCCTCATTTCTCATAAAACTGTGGATTCAGAGCAATTTGTATGCTCAGAAGGATCACTGATACCGAACATAGTTTGCACGGACACATCCCAGAAAGATCGCTAACATCGAATCTCTCAGACGGATTATCCAGATACCCCTGGTAATCTTAATGGTCAAGGCGATCCGGTTTCGACAAGCAAAAGTCTTTCCAGCTTTTCCTGGCAATTCTATAAAAAGGCCCTCAGAAGAATTTGAAAATTGGCGAGCAATTTGCATTTTCTGTTAATACTCAATCAAATTCATACCTGCTGTTTTACATACCTGGAAAAAATCCCGAAATGGTTTTTGAGCAATTAATTCTTTGACGTGCGGTAAATTGTGGTGAAACTGAATGTGCAGATCAAAATCACGCTCCAAACGCGTAAACGTTTGACCAACTTTGCCAGGATCATCGGAATAGTACTGTAAGCCTTTGAGCATAACGCTGAAATTTTTACACTCTCTGTATTGATAAGATACTCAATTGAAAATTTTGACAATTTATCATTTTTTTTTAAGCTTTTTTAGATATCATCGAATCACTGAAATACGGCTAACCCACGTAAGCACCGGGAGGCAATAATGATGGAGGGAGGTGTAATTCATCCGGCTTTGAGCCTCGACGGTATCTTGAGACTTATTGACGCATAGCAAAGGATGACGAGCTCAAATTACTGGTTTCATATATTCTGCATTCTCAGGATGCTGTGGTATATCGAGAACAGCTACGGTTGCCTTCATTTTCTTCAAGTCTTATGGAATACTAATTTCTTTAATTGAAATAATTTCCAATTCAGTCACAAATTATCATGAAATACGACTAATACTTCAGAATAGTTACCAAATTTAGCTTTCGGAACTTTGCGGGTAGGGATGGATGTTTTTTTTTTTGCTTATTATAAAAGATCCAGCTTTTTAGGACGAAGACCACAAATCCACTTCAACTCATCTCTTACAATTCTACTTTACGCTAAATCCAACTCTGACAATTCTTAAAAAGGCGGAAAATCTTGATTCCAGGCATACTTCGCATGAAAATTATGAAGCTGCTTCAAGTTCAGTGCCAATTCATCTTTCTTTGCTTTCACTTCTTCCGCAATACTTGGATCATCCAGTGCCTTGACATAAATTTCAACAACTGCTCGCAGTTCGTTGACAAATTCTTCCTCAGAGCGCAGCAGATCATGAAATACTTGGCTGAAAATGAAATCAGCAAAATTTCGGTAGTAACTCCTCCCTCTCTCCCCTCTTCCCCCCTTTCTCTAGGTAAAAAAATAAAGGCCTACTTGCTTTAAACAACATTAAACACTGATATCCCATGTTAGTGATGTTACTGGAATATTCCTATGCGCCGGGTGAAGCTATGCCGGGCGGCTCGATCCTGGACTGCATACCTAGAGCTAATACTCACAGCCTGCTTGATGCTTATACTCCACCTTTTTAGGAGCGCCTCAGTGGCTGTTTGCTTTTTATGCGTTTTTGCTGTGCAGCGCTATAGCGCTGCTACAGCCAGCAAAAACGCATATT